ATTCCTATGGTGGGAGAAGACTGGAAACAAAGTAGGGATTTTGACTTTGCCTTCCCACGGCAACCCGAAGCAAAAACAGGTCAGAGGGAGAATGGAGGTTTATTTTAAAGAAAGGAACCAGGGTAGTGTGTGGATAAGAGGTGGAGAATCTCCTTTCAGTCTTTTGCTACAAGCATCTCTCCCTATTTTTAATTCCCGAAAGGTAATGGGAGACCAAGGCAACCAGGAACCTGGGCCTGCACTGGGGGAGAAAAATAGAAAAAAAAAGCAGGGCATGAGTGGGAGAAAAGGGATGTAGAAATAGACCCAAGTGGGACTAATTTTAATAGAATTGTTTGGCAAGAAATTCCCCTCTTTCACCAAAGACCCCAAATGTTTAGCTTGGGCCCCTGCCCATCCAGATAAATCAAGACGACAGATTAGGAAGTTCATAAAACTGTATCTGTGGGTAATGACATTCAGAGTGTTAACAAATATCCCTTCCAGCTCTGGTTGGGAGTGGTGTGTGTATGTGGGGATTGAGGGATGTCTTCTAGCTCTGTTACCTAGCCTGAGTAGGGAGAAGCAGTTTTTAATTAAAGTTAACCTCTCTCCAAGGTGTGGGATGGGGGCAGGGTGAAAGAAACTGCTGCAAGATCAGGAAATACCTCAGAAAGGTAGAGTGGGGAGACAGGATATATGGCTTTCCCTGAATAAGAGAGAAAAGGCAATTGTGGTAGTGGGGTGGACGTGAGAACCGGATTCCTCCTACACCAGCATCACTCGCCTTCGTCTTTCAACTCCAGGACCACGGCACCTTCTCACTAAACTATGCTCAAGTCAAAAAATTCAATTCTCCTTTAATCCTAAGGAGGCAAATGAAAGCAACTAACAGCTGGAATGAGTGGCCCCTAGCCCTCATCTGGTTCACCCCTGCCTTCCGCTTTTCTATCAAGAAATGGGAGACTTTCTATCTTCCCTCTGTTACAGCCAACCTCTCTGAAGGAGGCTGGCCCAAGGAGATGGAAACTTGCTAGGGAACTCCTTATAAAGTGGACCAGAGGCATCCGGAGACAAGCAGCCAGGGTTCCTCTTTCTGTTTTTCTATCTCTCTTTCTCTCTCAACATTTTCCTGATGACTTTTAACATCAGAGAAATGTGCTTGCCTCTGTAATTGGGGAGGGGGAATGTTGCTCGAACTCTACCACATTGAACAGACACTTCCTTTCTCTACTCCCTCATTGCTCTTCTTCCCTCTTTATCCTTCTCCTCTTTAGCTGGAGTAGAGATGAAATTTGGAGGAAAAATGTAGATATATAGATATATATTTACATTGCCCCCATCCCACCCTCAAACAAATCTAAATGCTAACTACTTACATGTCAAGCGAATTTTTGACCTGTTGGGGATCGCCAGCCTCTTGGAGAAGGACCTTGGATGGATTGGTCACCGCTTCAACCACATCTTTTTTATTTAGCCATTGGAGAGAGACACATGCATTCAGCTCGACTTGGCTCTCCCCCTACCCCACCCCATTACTATGGGGGAAAAAAATCCACAACCTTACAAAAGCTTCGAGACCCGGGGTAGTACACGGTGCAGAGCCCAAAGGGTCAGAGAAGGGGGGAGAGGTCAGGGCAGCTGTGGAATATAAAAGCAATGGCAGAGAAAATGTGTCCTCTCCGTGAACCTGAGTTGCATTCTCCCCTTGCCTTTCCCCTCTTCTCCACCCAACTTCAATAAAAACCCCCTCCCTTCCTCTTCACCAGGAAGACAACTAGAATGAAAGAGTCCTGTTGGTGGGGAGGAAAAGACAGGCTTGGGGCTTGGAGCCCCATTCCTGATCCCTTCACCCAGCATTCCTTCAGGGCAGTCTCTCCCCTATTCCTGGTGGTCATGTCCAAGGCAAAGGGGAAATTTTGGCAATAAGGACAAGACAGGCAAACTAGTAAAAGACAGGGCCAGAGGCCAAAGCTACCTTGGGCATAAACTTAAAATAATTGATATTAGTAGTAGTAGTAGTAATGCTTATTATTATAATCTATGATGTCTCTCCTCTGATCCAAACACAGAGAGAAAAAGAGAAGGAGGAAACAAACAGAGATCAGAGGAGTGAAAGAAATAAAATAAATGTCCCCAGTTCTGTCCCTATTTGACCCTAATTCTCCTCACATTTGAAACTAAGGTCCCTGTGCTGAAGCAATCTTCATTTAGTAAGTTCTGGCAAAACCAGAAATCAGAATTGTAGTTGTTGATTTTTTTTTAATCTCCTTTCTACAACTTCCAGAAAAAAGAAAAAAAATCCCCAAAGAATAATAGATTCCTGGATAGATTTAGGGGCACTATTTCTCTATCCCCTCCATCCCTATCCTCATATTTTTCACTTTAGTTTTAGTATAAAACTATAAGCTATCCACTCTATACACTCTTCACAACTTCTCTTGCCTACGTGGAACATGCAAATCTTATCCCCTTCTGACCCCAAATCAATTGCCTTGAGATGATGGAAGCTTCAGCTGTGATTGGTTGCTAATTCACTTGATTACATAAAAATAACTTACGATAATTATTGTCCTGCACTCCCGGAGCTGGATGAAAGAGGCAGTTTTGCCTTCTCTAGAGTATGATCAAGGGTGGAGAAAAGAGGCCTGCAGGACCATTCTGTTCACCCAACCTACATCTCAACAACTACCCTAACCAGCAAAGTGGATGAGAGAGAGAGAGAGAGAGAGAGAGAGAGAACTAACCACACACATATTCCTCTACAACTTGACTTCTCTATTCAGGGAGGCCTTTATCTGGTCCTGTCACCTTTCATCCTAAGAAATGGTAAAGGAGAGCAAGACTTTGATGTAAGCCAAACCCAGAACAGTTCTTCTCTTTACCTTTTAAAAAGAATATTGCTTCTAAGATCCCTTAATGTCCTGAAATTTGGACAGACTTCCTGGCAAGGAAAGGTCTGTGAGTTTTGAGGAAGATAACTCTGTTACAACAATCAATTGAATGCAGATACTGTTCTTCCAATAAGCAAACAAAATATGTTCATGGAGGTTGCTTGGGCCTGGTCTACAACACTAAAATTATTGGCTCGAATTATTCAGATGATGTGGAGGGGAGAGTGTTTATTTTTGTACATTTCTTCTTGAATTTCCAATTTTATTATAAACAAAATTATAAACTCATTTATCTCCCACAAGCCTGCCACGGGTGGGGGAGAAAAGGGGGTTGAGATATTTTTCTCTCTGTGCCTTTGCCCCATACCTGGCTAGTCTATGATAGGAGTTAGGGGGGAAAAAAATCTCCATTATCTCCCAACACAAGGCTTTGAGGCCTACCCATGGAAGGAGGCCCTCTAGAGCCTTTCACTTCCCCCTCCATTCTTAGTCTAAACTAACAGAAAAAGTGGCCAAAGTGTCCCTTTAGTTGCCTTTAAAATGACTTTTCAGGGAGATTGGTTGGGGGCACATCTCCTTTATGTTGTCTCAATCACAAAATAACCCTATAAGATGACAAATGGGGAGCAGAATTGCACAGTAAATGCCTTAGATTCAGAAAGACCTAAGTTTAGATACATGCCCCAGATACATGCTGTGTGAACCTAGGTAAGTCACTTGTCCCCAGGCAACTCTCTAAGACTATATGTATCTACATTGTTAGGAGCCCTTCGCTGGGAGCCCTCTGGTCTAACAAAGTTATAGTTCCCATTTAAAAACAAAACAAAGCAAGATTGAAGACACTACCCCAGTCCAACTCTACTTATCTCAAACCAAGCTCTGCTCTAAGGCAAGGAAGGGGTGGGGTTGGGAGACAAACTAAATGGGGCCACTTGCTACCTGAAAATCAGACACCCTCTGCCTCCCAACTCTATTGTCCCCACCCCCAGAAGATGCCTTCCTTTCTGAAAACTCAGATTGAGGAGAGGTGAAAAGAGAACTCAAACCTAATGTCCCACATAAACCTATTAGTTGAACCATCACACCACACACACACACACACACACACACACACACACACACACGCACAAACACACATACGATTCCTTTCTCCTCCTGGTCCTTCTAAGGACACTTGGAAAATTGGAGTTGAGAGTTAAGATTCATATGTTTGCTTAGAGTAAACTTAGCAAGCAACTAGGGAAAAGGTGGGATTTTACCAGCAGCAGCCCAAGTCCACAGGAGAAGAGGGGGAATAAAAAAGAAACCATCAGACATTAAGTAAAACTAATTCACATTCACTGGTTTATTATTGATCACGGGGCACTTCACATCAACACTAAAATTCTTTATTGCAAGTTTTACAATAACCAAGTAAATTCAGTCCAAAAACCACAATGATCACAAGGGGGGTGAAAAATCTACCTAAAGTCTGGAGTTTCCGTCTCAGAACTGAAAGTTCTTTTTTGTATTCTTTTGGCTCCTCAAACTGAACAGCTAGGAGAGGCTCCCGAGATGCATTTAGCTTTGTCTGCTGCCTTCCCCCCCCTTCTCCTCCCACCCCCCCAACAATGATACAAAAGAACTTCATAGCTTTGTTCTCCTTAAAATGACTTCCCCTCCCTCACCTCCCCTGATGCATTTTTCAATGCAAAAGGCCTAAGGGGGAAAAAAGGAAAAGAAGAAACAGAAGAATTGGCCTAAAAATGTCTCTTTCCTTTTTCTTCCCTCTTTCCCCCTGAAAATTAACCAGAACTGGACCATCGCACCTTGCAATATATATCTTTTTTTTTTTTGCTGCTTTTTTTTCTTAAAAAATAAATAAAACCCCCAAACGGCCTAAAAAAAGCCCCGCAGGTACCATGCTAAGACAACATCACATGCTTAAAAGGGTCCTTAACAGTGGAAAGGAGAGAAGGGGGGGGGCTTGTTTCCATGTATCTGTTGTTTCTGTTTGGAATAAGCAAAGGACAAGAGGTGGGGGGAAGAGAAGAAAGAACCAAAATATATATATATATATTAGATTCTATAAATAAGAGTCAATTTGTGTGTGGGGGGTGGGGGAGTGGGTATGGGGGCGAGGGGGGTGTGATTTATGTTTTATAACCTGGTAATGTCCTCTGCTCGCTGCTCCTGTGGTGTTGAGCTTTGGGAATGGTCTTCAGTAGGGCCAGGGGTGGTTGCGGGCAGGGCGCTGGGCGCCGCTCCGGCTGGTGGGGCGGATCTGACTTTGGTGTTGGGGAGTCGGTGGTCCTTCTTCCATTTCATCCGACGGTTTTGGAACCAAATTTTGATCTGCCGCTCGGAGAGACACAGCGAGTGGGCGATCTCGATTCTTCTCCTCCGGGTCAGGTAGCGGTTGTAATGAAACTCTTTTTCTAATTCCAGGACCTGCTGGCGGGTGTAGGCTGTCCTCGAACGCTTGGGTTCCCCTCCATTATAATTGGGGTTCACTAGGAGGAGGGGAGGGGGATGGGAAAAGCAGATAGGGGGTTCAGAGGCAGCAGGCTTTCCTGACCCCCAACCCCCACCCCCTTCTCAGCTCGGAGGAGCAGGAGGGGGAAATAATAAAGTCATCGAACTAAATGGGTTATAAAGAACTTGAGGGACGCTGAAGACTTTGTAGTCTAATAAGAGGGGAATCCTCATTGTAACGCCACTGAATTATTTATGCGCCCTTAGAAAGCGAGCAGAGTTTTCTCACATACATAACAGATCCTAGCACATGGCTCGGACTGCCCAGAGTAGCTAAGCCATAAAATTTATGGGGGATGTAATTACCCATTCTCGCTCGTAAATCCAGTTCAATTGTGCTAACCCAGAGTCGCTCCTGGAGAGAGAGAGGGGGAAGGAGAGAAAGGAGGACGGGAGCCGGAGGGGGACTGGGGAGGGTGGGAAGTGTAGAGGAAGAGGGGAGGGAGGAGGAGAGCAAAAAAGCAAAGTTGCCTACCCGTGCTAACGTGGATTTTTTTCATCCATGGGTACACTATGGGCTGCTTGGATGCGGCGCTGGAGGGATGGTCTGGGGCTGGCTGGCTGCAGGCTGGCGGGGCTGGGGAGGGGGAAGTGGAGGAGCCGGAGAGAGGAGCTGGCTCGCAGAGCGGCTGCGATTTCTCGGGGTGATGGTGCCCCGCCTGAGCCGGCCCGTGGCCTCTCGGATTGCCCGGTCCCTGGAGACTGGTACAGCTATATTGGCGCTCGGGATAGCTAGACCGTGGAGGTGGTGGTGGGTACAGCTCTTGATGGTGATGCTGAAATCCTGATTCCCTGGTCCGGCCGTAATATTCCGGACTATGCTCAGGGATGTAGCTATTTTGCGAATATTCCTCGCATGGAGGAAATTTCGGATCGATGTAGTTAGAGTCCATCAAATAGGAGCTCATGATCATTAATTTCTGGAGTGGAAAATAATTTTTCTCGCTTTGTCGTTTTTCTGCTCCATAAAGCCCTCCTACTAGCTAGCGACCCTGTAAAGTTACTTTCACCATGTGACTCCGCCGGCCAATCACGCCAAGCAACCTAGTCCCCGGATAAGGAACAGAATCGCTTTATTCAAAATGTATCCAATTTTTTTCCTGGTGGTGGTGGTGTGGGGGTGAGTGGGGGGCTTTGTGAAGGGGAGACTAGCCCCAGACTGACTGAAGTTGGGGTGTCTTCCTTCAACCCCTCAATCAGTTTGTTTTCCCCAGCCCAAGAAGGCAAGGGTACCCCCAAGTCCCACTCAGAGAGAAGTAGAATCTGATTTGGGGCGTTGGAAGGTTGTGTGAGAGAGCCCCAAATCCCAGTCGTATTGTGTCTCCTTGATTGTATGTATTTTTTCCAAATGAATCCATTAATGGTTGTATGTCTCAGTCTGTCTAGGTCGAGAACCAGAAGAGTGTGAAGTTGGAGCAGAGGTTGGATGGGAGAGGGCACCAAGCTGGGCAAGACACTGGTGTACCACAAGTCTAAGAAGACCAGAACCCATGCCCTTCTCTGCCCAGCTTAAACACACCCACCCAAACCTCCCCTCCCCCCAAACCTACCCTCTGACTATTGGGAGAGAAGGTGAGGTAAAGAATTTTACCTGGCAGGTAGAGCTGGCTGTACGAAAATGACTGTCATGCCTGAAGATCTGGATGCCCTTAACTTGGTTGGAGAGAGATGCTATGTCTTTGGAAAAAGGCAGAATTCAGAACTCTTCCTCTTTGCTTCCCCATTCTCACAGGCTCTCCCCCCAGAACCAGAGCTTCACCTTTACATTTTCACTGTTGGGACTTTTCCAATGTCCTACCTACCTTGGCTTTCCAGCTCCTGAAAATCATCTAAAAGGACTGCATCTGGTATTTTGGAAGAAAAAAACTGATAACATTTACAGAACTCTATCAATATTGACCATATCTCTATAGCTGACCTATGTCTATAGCTATTACACAAGCAGATGTAGGATATTTCTATAAGTAGAGAGAAGTAAATTTTGGTGTGATAGAATGCTTGCCGGTACTCGTTGTATATGTAATTTTGTGTGTATACCTGTTAGGTGTGAGGCAATATCTATGGTACACGTGTGTCAACACATTTGCATATGCATCCCAGAACACCTTTGGCTTAAGGCTGAGTCTTTAGTGCAAAACTTCCCTCAGTCCCCCCAGGAGTCAGAGTTTATTGCTTTGGTTTTTTTTGGGGGGGTGGGGGGGAAGTATAGAAGTGGGGTCCTTTGGCGAGTGTGCATTGGAAAACAGGGACAGGTGAAGATTTTGTTCTTCCAAGACTAAGTTCTGACTCAGCTGGGCCTGTGGGGAGGTGGGGAGGGGATAAGGTGGAAGAGAGAAGGAGAGGGGTATTGGGAGATGGGAGAAGGACCTAAGGACCTGAGTAGATTCCTGCTGATGTCCTTATTCATCCCCATTCCCCTCAAATTAGACTACCCTGATGGCTTTCAGAAGGAGGAAGGGGGAGATAAGTGGAAACCTCACTAAGGTGGGGGAAATATAAGGCCCAACACAACACACCCTGGCCAGAGCTGAAGAAGCCACTTCAGGACATCGATTGCAATTAATTGCCCCTGGATAAGTCATAGTTTGGTTGGGGGGGGGGGGGGGGTTGCGGGGGGGGGAAGAGGAGAGGAGAGAGGAAGGGAGGGAGCCGGATCCCCTTGTTGTACTTGATAACAATTATAGTTTAAAATCATAGCTTGCCGGGCCCAGCTATATTTTACTTGATAACAATAAAAGTGACACATAAAGTTAACTGTTTATGTTTTATTTATTAGACTAAATCTGCCAGCGGTGGTAGGAGCGTTTGCCTCGTCGCTGCAGCTTTTATAGGGCTGTAAAACGTCATAAATCAGTCTAGGGGAATCGCCGAGGCTCTTTGTGTCGGAGTAGGCGTGCTGCTGGCGGCCGCTGCCTGCTCCCTTCTTTCCACGAAAAGTCATAATGTGATTTTTTTCCCCCTCTGATTTTATTATTATGATCGCCGCCGTGATTAGTCAATCTACCTTTAATTCGCCACCCTGCGCTGCCGCTGCCACTATCGCTGCCTCCCCTCCCCTCCCGGCCTGGTTGACACTTGAATTAGTACCTTTTAAAACAGCATAACAACTATTTGAGGGTTTAATTAGAACATCTGCAATTAAGGGAATGGGAAGGAGAAAGGGAAGAGAGGAGCTGAGAGGGAGGAAGAGACTAGAGCAGGGAGACTCAGAGCTTATCCCTTCCGCTTCTGGAACTTGGGTGGGGGGAGGGTGAAAGGTCTCCTCTCCCCCCAAATTAAACCCCCTCCCTCTCATTAAGGGATTGAGGAGAAGAGAGAAAGGGAGGGGAAGGGGGAAGAATAAGAAGAAACCAAATTAAACCTCTGAATTGCAGCTATCCACTGCTCTCTTCTTGTTGGCAACCAAGTATTCTTTCTTCAAAGTGCTACCCACACCCACTTTTCTTTTTATTTCTTCTTAGTCTAGTTTATGGCTTCAAATCCACGAGTTTTTTAATCCATCTCTACGAAACCGCCCCACCACAACTAAATCTATATTCTTCAGTACGAAGGCTGTTCGTTCTTGAGAACAGGAGCTTTGGTTATGTGTGGGTGTGAGTGAGTATGTGTATACATACTCTCTGGAAAGGGGCACATTCCTTCTCCCTGAAGGGCAGAGAAAGCACCCTTCTTGTGCATACACATACACACCCTCAATGGGATTGGGATGGAATGTTTGAATCCCCTGGAACATTGAATAATCCATTCAGGGAAATTAGAGCCTGAGTTTCCAAACTTGATTGAAAACTAGCTGGGAGTTCTGGTGGGAGGGAGCAGGAGGCTGGTTTGAGCTGCCTGTGCCTGAGCAAGGAGGTAGAGTAGGTTAATTGGGGAAAGTAAGATCCTAGCTCTAAACAGGGCTAGTAGTTTGGGAAGGAGGAAGTAAGAAGAGTAATTCCAGGCTAGGAGGGAGAATCAATGGCTAATCGTGAGCTGGAAATCAGCTTTCTCCACTGGGACACTGAAAAGTCAGAAAGATATCAGGTGGGACTGAGGGAGAAGTGAAGGTGAAGCTTTCCACAAATATTCAGAATCTCTTTTCTAGGCCTGATGCTGGTGGAGTCTTCCTCTCTGATCTTTGTCAGCCTTCTGGATACATGCATGCATGCAAACATACATACACACATGTATGTCTTTTGTATATATAGATTACATGTATCCAGAATAATTTATCTATGTATGTATATCTATACACTTATGTTCATGTATATGTGTGTGTGTATATGTGTGTGTTTTCTCCTTCACCTGTGATTTCATCCATTAAGGGAACTTCCTAGTCAGGAAACTCCTTCACAAATGCATAATAGAGATATGTATATGTCAGAGGGAATGGCTTTTATCATATATTAGGGGACTCACCTGCTTAGATTTTCTTTAGGAATCTCTATCACTCTCCCTTTCTAGGCCCAGCCCTCTGCCCTCCAACTCCTCACACTTTTCTTGCTGTTTCTAAAGACTAGCCTCTATCATAGCCTCCAATAAACTCATTTGGTTATCTGCACGAAGGACCACACAGATGCATACCCCTAAAGCCTTCTGTTTATACAGGTAAGTTTGTGTTATAGGAACTATCCTGAACACAGGGTGGGAGATTGAATTTAACTCTGCATTTAGCTAATATAACTACACTGTTAACTAACAATATACCCACAAACATAATACTAAATGCCAGCATGTGTGCCATAAAGATGCACACACACAGGGATTTAATACCATATTTGTACATCTCATTGAATTTTTGGATGTGAAGAGGAATCTATGCACTTATACTCACACACTTGGACATTGATAGGGCTCTGGGCATATATATTTACTTAAACCCACACCCACACTTTCTCTACATTTTGAAAGCTATTTGCGAGCAATCATATACATATGCGCTTCACCTCTAATGGCCATACACATTTCACCTATAGAATATTCTGCATACCCCAACTTGTTCCCTTCCATAGATTTCCTGTTTGCATTGAGGAGCCACTGGGGCTTCCATGGCGTGTGAAAAACACTTCTATACTAACCTCCTCAATCCTTTTGTATTCCCCCCCTTTGCCTTCCCACCCCCATGGCCAGCTAGGTTCATCCTCCTCCCCCTTGCCTTTTCCTAACCAGCCATCTCTCACCCCAGCTATACATGCACACATCCTGCTATTTCCTAATTTTATTTTTATTTTCGTTGCACTTTCACCTGCATTTACAGTCTGTATCACCCCCAACCCTCATCATCTGTCGCCTTTCTCTACGTCTAGATCTGGTTTCTCTTTTCGGAAACATGTTTCAGTACAAAGCGCTTCCCTTCTGACAGTACTGAAGAAAAATAAGTGTTCATTGTGTGTGGCGTTATTGTGTCCAGCATTACCATATTGACCGTTGGATAACCTATATTCGCTCCCCCCTCCCATTAACAATCTGCGGCCCGAGAACATAAGTAGCTCTTGAGACTTTGTGATCCTTTTAAAAATCTCAGCCCTTAGACTCACCCCACTCCCTTCTTTTCCAAGGGAGAAAGTGTGTGTATGTGGGGGCAGGGGGGTATTTTGATTTGGATTTGAAGATTTTTTTTTTTTTTTGTCTTTTTGGTTGGAGGGAAAGAATTGGGAGAGAAGATCATGGTCGTCCCCTCCCCCACTCCACAAACTGCAGGATTTTTTGAAAGAAAAGAGACTTCCACAGCCCTCCCTCTTTTTCCTTTCCAAATAAGTTGACTTCTAGATGACAAGTAATTAATTCCATTTTAATTTCTGCCCCCCCCCCAACAACTTGAAAGCTCCAAACTGAAGCGAGGTCCCCTTCTGGTTTTGTTCCTTTATGACGCCTGGCAGACAGGACTAATGTATGCAAAGGAATATGCAAATGCTTAATTGATTTTTTCTTAAATCTCTTGTCAGTAAAAGTAATGAATTGGTCTAAAATGATTTTAATA